CTTTCAAAAAAGCCTGTAGTGGATCGGCAGAAAGAAAGATACAATGCACTAACTCAAGGTAAATTGAGTTCAGATAATAAAAATAAAACTGAAAAAAAAAATTGTCATCAGGATTTAATTACGCAAAGCTGGTTTCATAGACCTAGAAGTCCACGTCCAGATGATAAATATGAAAAACGAAAAAAACGCCACAATGCTATCAGTGTGGGTCCTATCAACATTTAAGACCCCAATGTCCAAAACTTAAGAATAGTACTGAATCTCCTGCTAATCTTAACAGAATTAGTGCAAAACCAGAGGATAAATTTCTATTACCTTATACTAGTATGGGTTACGTAAATGGTCATAAAATTCCTATATTAAGGGATTCAGGTGCTAGTATTGATATAGTTTGTCGCAAATACATCACGCCGGAAATGCTGACAGGTGAAAATGTGTGGGTGCAACAGCCATTAGATTTGAATCCAACCTGTTTACCATTGGCTGAGATCGAACTAAATTGCGATCTTGGGCGAGTAATAACTAAGGCTGCCATTATTAGAAATGAACTCGACAAAGGAAGGTATTTATTAGGCAATCGAACTTTTGCACTGTTGAATAAACAAGGAAAGGAACCTGATAGTTGTCCTCACCAGGTTAATGCTGTCTCTACTAGAGCTCAAAAGAAAAGAGAAATAGCCTGAAGAGAAGATCTTGGAACCGATGAAGGAAAAATAAAGCATCCAGAGATGTTTTTGAAGAAGAAAATAATTTACCGGAGCTAAATTCGGAAGATGAAACTCTCATGAAACTGGTAAACATTGACTCAGAAGAAATTGCACAACTTCAGCTTGCTGATGAGGAACTGTCTAAAATCATCCAAGAAGTTAAGGAAGGAACATGCAAAAATGAGAACTATAGTCTGACAAGAAAAGAGCTTTTAGTTAAAAAAACGACGGATAAAATGGGCTTTGAAAGACAGCTTGTCGTTATACCTGAAAAACTGAAGCCGTCAATTATAAAGATGTGCCACGAAGGAACTTCTGGTCATTTAGGTGTCAAAAAGACCAAAGACCGACTTCCTAGATATTTTTACTGGACGAGGTGTTACAAAGAAACTGAAGATTTTCTAAGAACCTGTGATGCTTAACAGCGCGCTGGAAAAGGAAATGACAAAAAGAAGGCTCCAATGACATTAGTACCAGTAATTTCCGAAATATTCACTAAAATAAATGTCGATGCCGTCGGTCCGCTACCTATTTCAAAGACTGGAAAAAAATATATTATTACAGCTCTGTGTATGTCGTCCAAATATCCAGATGCTGTTGCGGTGACAGACATTTCTTCGCCATCTGTGATTGATGCTTTCTTACAGATTTTCAGTCGTATGGGTTTCCCAAAAGTGATCCAAACAGATCAGGGGACCTCTTTCGTCAGTGCTTTGACAGAGGAATTTTTGGAGCGTTTCGGCATTAAACATGTAAGAAGCTCTGTGTATCATCCGCAGAGTAATCCCGTTGAGCGATTCCATAGAACGCTAAAAAGGGTGTTAAGAGTCGTATGTATAGGAGCGACTTCGGATTGGGAGAATTATCTACCATCAGTTCTTTTTGCTCTCAGAACAGTCACACACGAAAGCACTGGTTTTACACCAGCAGAATTAGTTCATGGCAAAAACCTACGAACGCCAGTCACTTTTACTTTATGAGCAGTGGCTAGAACCGATTGAAGAAAGTAATAATGTTGTCAGTTACGTTTTCGAACTTATTAATCGAATGAAGAAATGCCAAGAACTTGCCGTGGAAAACATGAAAGAAGCTCAACAACGGAGGAAAACATGGTACGATCGAAACGCAGTGAAAAGAGAATTTTCTAGAGGAGATTTAGTTCTTGTTTTATCAACGAATCGTCAAAATAAACTAGAAGTACAGTGGAAAGGACCTGGAAAAATAGAGAGCAGAAAATTTCAGAAACCAATTATATTGTAAGTTTCGAGGAACAAAATGAGCCAAATCAAGTATATCACATTAACATGCTTAAACCATATTACAAAAGACCAGAAATGATTAATATGATAACTGAAGTGGAAGGAGATTTAGAAATGGACATTCCTCGTTTACCTTCCAATCCAAGTATATTAAATTTCTCGGACATCGTAGAGGAGAATGAACTCGAGAAAAGGTTGAAATCCGAGCAAATAGAAGATTTACGAAAGATTTTATGGAAATATTCTGGTTGTTTTTCAAATAATCCTGGACTAACAAACTTAGTTTGTCACGATATTGAGCTATTAAATAACGAACCAATACAAATAAAGCCATACAGACTGTCACCTCAACAGACTGAAATTCTCAAAAAGGAAATCCAGAAAATGCTCGATCTTAAAATTATAGAGCCGGGAGAATCGGACAATACATCTCCCATGATCCCAATACATCTCCCATTTGATAGAATCTTCATCAAAGGATCCTCGGCCTTGTATTGATTATCGTAAACTCAATGCTGTTACTAAAACTGAATACTATCCTTTGCCTAATATTGAAGAACGTATCGAAACTGTAGCAAAAGCAAAATATATTACCCTATTAGATTTATCTAGAGGCTACTGGCAAATTCCGTTAACAGAAAGAGCCCAAAGATATGCAACATTTGTAACTAGTTTTGGAAGTTTCAGGCCTCTACGTTTACCCTTTGGATTAAAAAATGCCCCATATTTTTTTAGCAAAGTTATGACTAAAGTCCTGGCTGGATGCGAAGGTTTCGCTGTACCATACCTGGATGACATTGCCATTTACTCAGAAAACTGGGAAGAGCACCTTAAAAACTTAACTTCTGTTCTAGAGAGAATACAGAAAGCAAATTTACGACTAAAACCATCAAAATGTAAATTTGCACAAGATCAAGTGAGATACCTAGGCCATGTTGTGGGACAAGGACAACGAACCCCGGATGAAGTAAAGATCCTGGCTGTAAAGGAGTATCCTACACCTAAAACCAAAACAGAAGTACGTGCTTTCTTAGGACTGGTAGGGTATTATCGCCAGTACATACCGAGATTTTCGGAAATTGCTTCACCCCTCACGGACGCTTTGAAGGGGGTAACAAAAAAAGGGAATATACAATGGTCTGAAATATGTGACAAAGCTTTTAAAAAATTAAAAGAGTTGCTATGCAAGAAACCAATTCTGTATGCTCCCGACTTTGATAAAAGGTTTATTATACAAACCGATGCCTCAGACAATGGCATGGGTATAGTACTATGCCAATTAGATGAACAACGTGAACAACGTGAACATCCTATCTTGTATATAAGCAAAAAATTTACTAAGTTTGAAAAGAATTATTGTACTACTGAAAAGGAGTGCGCTGCTATCATCTACGCTATCAAGAAACTGCATTTTTATCTGGATGGTCAGCAAGAATTCTTGATTCAAACTGATCATAATCCTTTGGTCTGGCTACAATCCAACGCCAAATGTAACTCTAGATTGATGCGCTGGGCACTCTCATTACAACCTTATAATTTTAAGGTCATTCATCGCAAAGGATCTTTGCACAAGAACGTAGATGTTCTGAGTAGAATTAAGTAATGTAATAACTCTTAGTGTATGTAACCACGTTCAGAATTTATTTTATTATTTAATGTATGCTCAACTGATGTATTTGAACGTTCTCCATTTTTTTTCTTTTTAAATGTGATGTAAAAGTATTTGTTTAAAACTTTAAATTTTTGACCTGAAATTCGGAAACTTATGAGAGAAGTTATCTTTTCTCTTTAAGCAATTGAGCAAGCCGAGCTTATAAACTTTCAAAATTTACAGACCTTTTCCCTTTGGTAAAAGTCTCTCCGTTGGGGGAGAGGTTGTAACAGCTTTAAATAATATTAAAATCTTGTAGTTTAATTAATTTAAATAGATGAACATTAAGGTATTTGTGAATGGCAATATTTGAAACCAGACTCGAGTGCCTCGTGCGACTCTCGCACGAAGAATGTAATTTATTTTTAAATGTTAGAATATATTTTCTCTTCTTGTTTGTACTTCGCCATTGAGTGTTAAATAAAGCTTTTTCTGTGTTCCATCATTGGAGTTGCTTCATATTGCCAAAGAAGTATCACAGTACATTATTTTAGGGAAATGAAAAGTGAATTTGTTGTAATTTTTTTCTGTGGAACCTAACAGAAAAATATAAAGAAACGACTCTCTTCCGGAAAAAAAAATACTAGGCAAATTTATTCAATATTGAATAAATGGCTATCTCACTGAATTGGGCAGATATCATCAAGTTGGCGATAATTTTAGCATCTGATTTTTATTGCCGAATTTGGCGAGAAATCGCAAAACGTCGCCAAAAGGTGATTATTTGGCGACATTTTAATCCGGTTCTTATATTACCGTAATAGGTATTGTAGAAAACTATATAAGACCGGAGACAGCATCAATTTCTCAGTTGTGAGTCGTTAGTTCAGAGCTACCTCGGAGTATTAATACCCGCGAAAGCTTCGCCGTTTAGATCTGCTTTGCATTGCATTGTGTTTAACATTATTAATATTTTGAAGTGCAAGTACTGATCGTACTCTGATACTGTGAACACCTGTGTAAGTACTTCTGTGGAAACTTCAAGAACTCTAAGGTGTTTCTTTTAATAAAATAAATTTTATCAACCTCTCATCGGACTTGTGTGCATTCAATCTTTTACTAAACCGTAAGCATGCAACAATATATAAATACTACACGCAGTTTCTATTGCAGGTCTGTCTGCAGCGCAAAGTCCGATTCTTTGTCGCTCTTTATGATCTTCTACAAAAAGAGCTTGGTGAAAGTTGTCCCTCACTTGCAATATTAAGAGGTGGATTTAATCAAATGCTTTTGGATCGTGAAATTTCTCCCGAAATCAGGCCATTTAAAGAAATTACTCTCGGTGTTGTCTTAAACGAGAGAATCAGTCATACGAAAGGTCAAATGTATATTAAGAAATTCCTTTAAAGAGTATATAATCAGACTACACAGACTGCTACTTACTTGTTCCTCTTCATCTACATTTTTTCTGTCATAAACTTTCGAGTTGAAGTGGTTGTAGTTGTGCATGGTAGAGAGTTTACGAATGAGTGTGTAAAGTGTTGTACTGCCGCATTTTGGCACGCGGTTGTAGAATAACCGCTGTCGGTCTATCACTTGTTCTGGTTGGGAATGGTAGCTACCTGGGACACAGTCGCAAGCTGGAAGAGAAATTACATCATTAGATACAGTGCCGCCCCAAAGATATTAAAAATTATACATTTACGGTCAAGCCAGTTAATTGCTTTATTCTACTGAAATGCTCTTTAATTTCATGGGTTTTACTTTCCGTTCCATGGAATTAATGAAATGAATTTTACTATTTTTTTGAAAAAGTCGTTGAACTATTCATATAAAGATCAGCAGAGAGTAAGACAAGATTAAGTTACAGCAAAAACATAATTATAGCTATGGGGTTATTTGGAATAAGGCAAAGTACAGAGGGATGACTGCTTAAGAAAAGGGATGACTTTGTGGACGACTTTCAAAAGGAAACTGGCTCGTATTTAAGTTACACATAAAGAAAACCACGAAACACCAGTCAAACAACCAGTATTCAGTGAACTTAACCACTTCGCCCCTGGTGGAGTCTATCTATCAAATAACCAACTATCTCAGTATATTTTTAAAATCATTCATTGCCTTGCTCCTTAAATAGCACCAGCAATTTTTAGTATTTAATTTAAATTACGGAACACTGAAATTCAAGAGTAATATGTTTACAAAAATGTAACAGTAGCATATAAATCTCAAAAATAAATGATTGCAAAATTTTATCTCCATTTGGCGTTAGAAATAATTCAAGGCCTTTCATTTGAAGAGACAAGAAATGTGTACGCCATAATTTTATTAATTTAAATATTTCTGTTCACACATTTTCAGGCATGAAGTATGTTAATATTTTCGTACTATTTTGTTCATTATTGGATGCTTAGTATTATATTTTATATAAAAAGCGAAAACATGGTGATAGTCAGCCATTAATTTTGCGGTACATATCCATAAAAATTTGTGAGAAATCTTTTAAACTATTGTTTTTAGTTTATTACCCTCTTTACAGTTTATTACCCCCATTTCGAGGTTTATATTTTGCTCAGCGTCATTCTGAATTTCAACAATGATATATTAGATGTCTTTTCAATATAGTACGTAGCCATTGTAAATGCTTTAAGAATTCTAGATATTTATTGAAATTATGCAGCATTAAATTGTTAAGTAAAACTTCCAGCGCCAGCCGGGAAATTTTTAAAATTTAAAGAAACTATAGGCGGCAGAATACAAGGCCAAAGAGATTGCATCGGCGGTTAAACATCTAGCGCCGGCCCGGAATTTATAATACGATACGGAAATAAAATAGCAATGATTAATGATTTCTCAGAACTCGCAAAATATACGAAAATTCCTGCCATAGCATATACAGTGGTATTTTTTAAAAGAATGCTCTACTTGAGTGTATTGAATATTACTACAAGAAAGGATTTACGCTTATTTTTTATAATATTTGTCTGAAAATGTTTAAAGTTCCCAGCCTTTGGAACAGAAAAATGAAATTACATGCGAGGTTCACCAATACATATTAAGGGTTAACTGGTGTAATTTGATTTTTTTGTAAAGATATTTATACAATAATTGAATGTTAAGTGTTTTTTCATTGCTTGCTTCTTAGTGTCGCGAAATGTTCTTCGGAGTAGTAACGCCCTACCCAGATCTCAGCTTTAACCAATCGACAATAAAAGCCTACGTTTGGAAACATTACTTTAAACCAATATTTTTGGCTCAGAGAAGTAATATAAGGAGTATCTTGGGAAAGCTACAATGAATAACATATTTTGATGATACCTTTTTGCCAAATATCGTATGTACTTTAATCATATATCAGAATAAAATCTATTGCAACAATATAGTAATCATAAACTATTTAAAAAAAAGACTGCGGTATCTTTGTAAGTATCATTTGAATAACAGGCCATAAAGCCATGGTCTATTATTATTATTAATTTGATAAATGCTGTGTAATGTTATTAAACTATAAACTGTGTTGATTTACTCAGCTGCATTGGGTGTACACACATACACAGTTTATCGCTAGTATTATATATCATTCCCCATTTTAACACAAAGTAAACAATATTTTCACATAGGAAAATATGAAATAGTAAAAGTTTTTGAGTAAACCGTAATAGCTTTTCTACTTACACTCTTCTGATAATTTCAACCACATATACTGTTAACCGAAGGAAAGATGATAATAAGCATTTAGTATTTCTTTAGAATTTGAGCCTCCTTCTTATCCGGTCTTGCTTCAACCGGCTATTTTTGTCGAAGTGCTTTTCGACGAAAAAAATTTTCATAGGAAATTCTAGTGTACCGTATTCAGAAAATGCGTATTATTTAGTTCATAAAGTAAGCTAAAATAAGAGACTGTTAAAAATAGTTCCCAAATTTTTAAAGCTTAGGCATTGGTTTGTATACCTATTATCTGCTCATTCTGGATCGCAATAACTTCGTATATTTAATTTCGTTAGTTTGTTATTATTTACATTTACTTCTATAACTGATTATTTTAACTTAAATAAGTAAATAGTTATATACAATACACATGCATACATTTGTTAAAAACATCCTCAGCGGAAACTTTCAGATTACCGGTGACCAATGGTCCAATGGCCTATCTTCGGTTTCATTTTATTTTAACAATCTACTTAACTGATATAATTTTCAATACATTTATGCTTTATTCAGCTGATAACATTTATAAATAATAATAATATAATCTATCTGTTTCTGAGATCTATGGATTTTTTGAAGTCGGAAAATGAAGCTGTTTAATTCGTTTAATATGTGAGCAATACTGAAGTCAAAAACAAAAATCAGTGCACTCATTTTATTAATAAAATGCATTTGGACTAGCACCGAAATTAACAGAAGATATTTCTAATGCTATATATAGCGTACTTGGTATGGAATCATATGATTTCTTATTATAGCCTATAAATGTCGCTTTATTTCCTTTTTTGAATTAACTGCCTACTCGTTTGTCTGGCCGAAAATCCGGTCCCGTAGAAGCCGATTAATCTGAAATCTAATGTATATTCACAGGTTTGTCAATATCGTCAATTATATGGCACGTTTGCGACCATATAGTTACAATCAGCCCGCTACTTTATCCCCCCTCGTTTGGATTATACAACCTTTTTCATGCTCACATAGTTTTCATTGTCGCAGGCTTCTACAAGATTCGCCCATCTACATTATTAATTTTTATATCCTCCTTCACTGTAACTGTATTCCTCATTAGATAAGTCTGATGAAAGTACGTGACTGAAGAGATCTATCCTAACTACGTTAATAGCTATTACTTTAGTTTTATCAGATGAATGGGCGCTATAAAAATGCTCATGCTTTCAAGGTTGCAGTTACACCCACTTTAATAGCCATTCACTTTTACGAAACATCATTTTTATCGATAACATTTATGCACAACGGAAACTCGATCTGGGAGTGTTCAGAGCTCTGAAGAAATTCGACTTGACATAAACCGTGTAGGAAACTCGAAGCAGCAGGATATCAGATACCCGTCGGAAGGGATTAACAGCAGCGAAGACCCGTTTATGGCTTCCAGCGGTCGGCTTGATTTGAAATTCTGTCCTTCTATACGTTCAATGATCCGCGAGAATCTTTCTTCTTTTTAATGAGCTAGACTGTAATTATTAATTAGATACAGGAGAGATAAACCGAGGCTTCTATCATAAACACTTCTGAAAAAAGTTGACGCTGTCTGCATTTTAACTACGCTATATCGATCAAAACAATATATAGTATCTTAGTAAGGCGTTTGTCCTTGTGTCCCCTTGAAAGCATTAGTTTAGAGCAGTTTTGTGTTCTATCTGTTTCTGAGATCTATGGATTTTTTGAAGTCGGAAAATGAAGCTGTTTAATTCGTTTAATATGTGAGCAATACTGAAGTCAAAAACAAAAATCAGTGCACTCATTTTATTAATAAAATGCATTTGAAGAGTATGCCAATTGACATTTGATAATGAAAATTTAATTTGATGCAGTTTATAAGAAAAATAATTACTATTTGTCTAATACTATGAAATTACTGATGGTATGGCACATATATGCTTAGTAAAATATTAGAGTAGTATTTCTGATACAAATCTGAATAATCATTTCAAAAATCAAACAATTAGAAGTGAAATCTTTATATTCTATTCCGTATTTTCGCACAAGAAAAAGAACTGTTTATTAAGTACGGTGAGATTTCAGCTAAAGTCTAGAATGAATCGCAGTGATTATGCATTTTTTGACCTTCATTCTAACTTTAATGATCTCCAAGTATGTCAGATTCTATACAAGGTCATCTTTATGCTAAATAATTTAGTCAGCACCGTGACATCATGTCATTTACATTCTTACTCGTCATAACTGTCTCATGTTTGTTCTTAATTGCTTAAAGTAATGGCATCTTAATGGCTTTTTTATTTTTTGCTCGACATGTGATGACATTGGCAACCTACACTGCTTATCGCTGCACTTATTTTTTGAAAAATACAACTGCAAGGATATTAGGAAAAGAGGGGAAGAGAACTTTTGAATTATAATCGGTAAAATATGAATGGTGGGAAAAAATCCTAACAATTCTCTACCAAAGTACAAAAATATATGGCCATTAGAAACATCTTTTTTTAGTTACAATTATGCTGCAGATGCTCGTAATTATCACCCTATATGTTATAAACTAAGCCTATTTCAAATTATACCAATCAGATACATTATTAAAAAATAAAATATGAATTAAGTTATTAAGAAAACGTTTATTGTTTTTATGTTATTAAGAAACATTTATTGTTTTTAGTCATTAGTTATCTGTCAAAAATAGTTTGAATACAGTTTAAGAATTCATATATGATTAAAGTAAAATGTGTTCCTGAATTCTCTATAAAAAATCCAATTTTCATTCAGCGACTAGATTTAGTGAAGTAGCGCAATTTCTAAACTAGATATTTCTGTTGAAATATCTGAAGCATTTATATCATTTGGATATTTGAATGCTAAGCTGGTCCATTTTAAATACCTAAACATTCTTCAACTTAGGTGGATAGTCTTCGTGCGTTGCCAAACTGAAACTAACCTAATTTTTAAAATATCTAAATCC